AAGCTGTGTAAGACAGTAGGCTGGAAAGTCAACAAGGGCTAGAATTGGAAAGTAAGGTTAAAGGTAACACTTAGCCACAAGACTATCCTTAGCAGCTTCAGAATAGCATGCAGTTAAATAAACACCCAGACACCCTAGCAGAGCTTACTTTGTAAAGAGCCTTGCTCTCACTTTTAACAGCAGATGATTGCTATTTACTGTAGGGCAGTGAACCGCAGGAAGCTGGCCTTTTTTAGCCCTCTTGCCCTGGAAAAGAACTGTCTGAAGGCGACTCGGTACAAACCTCCTTCCTTCCCTTCCCAACCCCAGTTCCCCCCCCCGCCCCCAGCTGTGGCTTTCTTTCCTTGACCATCTATCCGAGCATCTACAATTCGGACAACCGAGGATCGTTCCCAGCTATGGAGTGGTTTTTGTTGGCGGGGCTGAGCCTTTTGTGTTTTGTACAAGAGCCAGGGAGAGCAACGATGCAAACCCGCCCGACCTGGGCTGCCAGAAGTACAAGAACTTTGATTTGCAGTGGGAACCTCCCTGCCCTCGGCCCCTTGGTAGAGGAAAATGAATGATGAAGCAATTTGCAGCCTCCGAAAGTTTAGGGTATCGTGAACGCCTTTAGCCAGTTTCTGACTGTGCAAGTGGTAGTTGCTAATTGAGATGAGTTACGTTATTTCGGTGCTGCAGAGCAGAATTACCATTAGGTTTTGACACTTGCCATAAGTAAGTTTTGTATGAAGGGAAACATAAATCGTGCATCTGGGCTTCCCATGCAGACGGAAACAGGAACAACGAGGTGCTGAGATCAGGAGTGCAGGCCAAGATCCCTTTTACCCTGAAGAAAATGACTTTGGAATTAATTTGAAAGTGAAGGAAGTAAAAGACATGACTGAAGAACTGCTTTGCTAGAACAGCCATTCAAACGCGTATTTATATCTGGCTAGGGAAACATGATCGCAGACTTCATATTCAAGGTGGCTTAAGCTATGCTGGTTCACTTTGCTTGTCCCGGTGATTTTTGGCTATGATGATCCGCTTCGCATTTGCGGCAGCCTACTGTTGTAAATCAGTAGTAGCAATAAGGTGTTAAATTGTGGTTGCTGTTAATAATGTTTCTGTGCTCTTTCAGACGGTTGTAAATCAGCTTATATTGTAGGGGTTTTTTAATCTCAGCAGCTAGATCCCTCTTCCATCTCTAGCACTGTAACATTTAACTGGGAGCTAACAAATGAACTATTGTTTCAAGGGTTGTTTTTTTCAATATCATTGGAGTGCTGTGTGTTTCCTAGTCTGGTTAAAGCTATTTGTTCCTAAAAATTCTTATTTAAAGATGAAGCTAAAAGGTGCTGATCAAAGATGGATAAAATATCTTTCACAGTCAATTAATGTGGTAAAGGATTATTTTTTTGGTCTATTGAAACTGTCTATAGATTCAAGTTGAATTCAGTTAATGTTTGGAGTCCTAAAATGAAAGATTGCTTTAGGGAATTGGAGCTTTTCATTTTGAAACAAGAAAACTGTGTTTAAAAAAACCAAGAAAGCTGCAAGAACAAACTCAATGTCCTTCTCAGTGTTGAGCGAGCTGCTTTAATCAAAATGCTGGTAACCCTGGTCTCCCTAACTTGGCCACAGTTTTTAATTCCGGCTACTGGACTTCAGAAAAGCCTACTAGACTGGACTTCTCAGTGGATTGGTACAAATACTCACAATCTCCTCGTGAGGGGTGAGAGCAGGTCCTTGGAAAGGCAGAGCAGGAACTGCACAGCAGGTCTGTGGGCATCTCCTGAGGCTGAACACCACCAGACCGGCGGTGCTCCTTCTCTTCCTACTCCTTGGAAGACCTTACAGGTTTTGCTTTCGTCCTGGTGTCCAAACAGAAAGTGCCTGGAACCATTACAATTTTTCAAGGTGGAAAGACAGTCTTCCCAGCCAGCTATAGTTAGGAGTTGAATTTTTTCAGAGGGGCTGGATTTGCTCTCCGTGGGTCACCGGCTGGCATTTCCCCTAGCGCAGACCAGAGCCCGAAATGCCATGTCGCACGTCACGAGATGGAGTGCCGCTGCGCTGCGGAGCTCAGCGCCGACCCCCACAACTGGATGTACCCGGGTAGGAGGGGGGCTGTCGCAGCCTGCTGCTGTGGCCAGGCTACTCGCAGTACCTGCCATCACTAATTTAAAAAATAGCTCGATGTGTCTGCATTGATTTCAATCACCGTAGTGACTTTCTTTCCATGGATACAGCAACCTGTAGATAGACTAATTGATTACCCATATTTTTGATTAGTATGCATGGCTTCTTGCCTTTTCTTACTCTTCTTTAAGAAGAATTTAAATATTCAAGGACGTGTAAAATCCATATGTATTTGTGAGTTAAATAAGAAGCAAATTTCTAAACCTTGTGTTTGGATTTTACGCTAGCTAATGCAGAAATCAAGTGGATGTGGTCAGTGCTCCAGCTCTGAGCTTCTAAATCTTTCTGAAAGCTTAAGGCTAAGGCTGAGGAACCTCTGTAGCCTAAAGAGCACTCATGGATCCTGTCCCCTATTTCAGGGTCCACAGGATTCAACCATCTTATTAAGGCTTTCATGTTTGATCACTGGATTTTACATCATTAGAACCAAGAATTTTCTTCATAAATGAATGCTGAGCAAATCGGTAGCGTCTACCCGACCTCATTCTTTGCAATAGTGCAGGGAGTGTTACAGCTTCGTTCTGCCGCATAACGAGATGGTTTGATGGGAAAACACCAAGTCTGATTTTAACAGGGTTTTATGCAGGTGTATTCCTAGAGTTGATTTTATTTTATTAGCTTTCATCCTCTGTATCTCTCCTGAGCTTTAGCTGGGCTTTAGCCATTGAATTTTATTAGCTTCAAAATTTCATGGCTGTGCAGCTCACTGGCAAGGAACAGAAGTTATTGCAATGGCTTTAATAGGAGTGTATTTTTTCATCCTTACTTTTATGGAGGTTTCATTTATAGTTGTGGGGTTTTTTTTTCTCCAAAAATGCCATTCTTAAAACATGAACAGGTCTGATTATTCTGCTAAGAACCGTGCACGCTGAAGATACGTGTCAATGATTGGCATTATATTGTATTTAACAAGACGAGAAATATTAACAATTTGAGGATTTGAAACCAAAGCTATTGGCAGTCCTGTCCAGCAGTACTTTTAGGGAAAATCTTATTTATAACTAAAAGGGAATGATCTCATTAGGTCTCTCAAGGATCCAAGCAAATGGGTTGGGTTTTTGTTTGTTTGTTTTGTTTGTTTGTTTTTAAGGAGAATAGGGATTGGAGGGAGAGAACAAGTGGCATCTACTCATCACTAGGGTATTCTTTGACTACTAAAGAGTTTGAGGTCAGCAGTACGATATATCTGAGAGGTGCGGCATGGCAAGTTCTTCAAGGTGCTAGGGAAATCCCAGGAAATCAGTGTCTTCGAACCCTACCTCCGGCCGTGAGCCCCTGAAACGCAGCGGCGCAGCACAAACCAGACTGTTCTCAGCTACAGAATCCAGTCGTACGACCCAGCTGGACTTGAGCCTCCCAGGAGAGGGGACCCTGGCGAGGGGACTCTGGCGAGCTGCTGGAAAGGGCAGGGGCTGGAAAGCGAGCCACTGCCGCCCGTTTGCAGGAGGGTGCTGTTTTGGATGGCAGCACCACCACCTCTTTGGTCCTCTGCCTCACCCCACCGGCGCTGGCAGAGGAGAATAGCGTTGCATCGACACCTGATTCAGTCCCGGGTGGAAGCGGTTTGGCTTTGCCATGGCTGGTGTTATGAAGTCCCAGTGATCTTCTGCTTTGGCAGGTCACTGGGACTCTTGTGTTGCAGTTTGTTCCCCCTTTTGCGCAGGACGTGCTTCTCAGCGCAGGGCCTTTGCTCGTTTGAAACCCAGAGCACTGGGGAGTATGGTACACAGGAGGCACTCTGGAATTTTTCAAGGCTTTTTAGCTCTGGCTGAGCATACCACAGGAGGCACTTGGGATAGTTCCAGCAAAACCACTCTCTCCAGTGGTCCCAGTAACAATTAGGTAACGCTGTGCAGGACCTGTTTGGGTCTTACAAAACCGGGTGAGGTCCAACAGGGTTTGCTAGCCCCACTTCTGTGCTGTGCTTAAGTACTACCCTGCTTCTCTCGGCCGTGGAAATGCTCGTGCTGTGCTGCACCTGAGCTGATAGATCTCCCTGAAGCTAAGCTGCCTCTGCATTTAGCCATAATGTGTGCATCTGCAGCTGCATCATGGCTGATTTACAACTTGGATAAAATGGCTCGAGGCAGCTGAGAGTGGACTGCTGAGATTCAGATGCGCTTTTCATGCTAGTTCACTTCCACGACATAATGTGAGGAATGCCAGGAATGTAGAGAGATGACAGCTTAGAAAAACTGGTTTGGCTTTCAGGCACCAAGGAGGTTGACACCTATAGTATGAGGGAGCTATATAGTGCAGCTTCTCACGTAGTAGTTGGACACTTGGCCTTCCGTGTCATTTACAAGACTGAGATTGTGTGCGTTTGACAGACAACGGGGCAGTTCTCTGCTGCTTGCTTTCAGCAGCAGAGCTGGCAAGAGTGAACACCAGCAGTCTTGCTCCTGGGATCCTGCCACCTCCTCCGTTATACCCCAGTTTCATAATGTACCAGCACCAGAGGCTGAGCCACCTGAAGGAATTCCTGACTCCCTGCCCTGTGCACTGGTTCCCACCCTCGCCCCGCGATTCCCTGTCCCCTCAGTTTGCTGAGGGTGGCTGTTTGTGAGGACGAGTAATAAGCAGCATCTGTCAACTGGCTTTAAATCAGTCCTCTTAAAAGTAAATTAAAAAAAAAAAATCCTTCTCTGTTGTGGATCGAAAAAAGTGCAATTATGTCTGTGTTAGTGCTTAAGAAAATACATGTGGAACCTCATCCTTAATTAAACAAATGCTATGATTAAAGCAAGTGCTGAGACAGGCAAACAGACAGTTCCTACGTTTTCTGATGTATTGAAAAAAAATTTCATTTGTCTTTTCAGCATTGCTTGAGAAACCCATCAGCAAAAGACGAGACAGTGAAGCTGTACAGAAAGCCAAGACCCTTTATGCATCCTGCATGAATGAGAGTAAGTAAGCGGCCTGATTTGAGAGGGACACGTATGTGTTACTATGCTTAAAAAGGCAGGCTTTTTTGCTGAGTGCTGAGCTCTGTGAAGCTTTGTGCAGATGCACAGGTTTCGCTGATTTAGATTCAATTGAATGCAGAGGGTCATCTACCCATTTCTGAAGCTGGCTATCAAGACTATGGTACACCAAGGCACAAGAAGTCAGTCTTACTGACTTACCTCTGCTTGTCAGGGAACTGTGAAGGAATATTTATTGGTGCAAAAGGATGCCAAAACCGTGCCCCAGGGGTGTGGGGGTAGTGCCTGGGAAATCAGAGGAGCCCTCTGATGAAATTCTCATACTGACACTTTCAAGAGCCTTTTGCTCAGCACCTTCTACCTTTCTCCAAATCCATTTAATCAAAACACTTCCACAGGGCTGGGTATAGACAGCCCTGGACTCTTTAGCTTCGAGTTATCTGCACGTCAAGCAAGTTTGGATGCAGAGCCCTATAGCCACCTTTGCGGAGTGCTTTTCCTGAGCTTCTAAATGTTGCTGTAAGGTGATGTACGCTGGGTTTGGACACATCACTAGCTGTAAATAGCTGCACGGGTGAAAGATGAGTTGGGAGGGAGTGGATTTTGTCCTTCAAAGTGCCCTTTGTCCTTCTGGCTCTTTCAGGCTTTTTTTCCTGTGCACTTTTCTTCCAGCGTGGCCTGAGACTGACTGTCAGCAACTGAGACAGCCTGCCCTGCAGCCTCCGTGCTGAGATGCTGACCCCTCTGCCTTTGATTATGTACAATAACCCCCTCTCAGAAACAGTGAAGTTTCTATGCTAGTTCCTAAGCGAGGAATGTTTTTTTAATTGACTTGATTCCAGCCCTTGCCTTTTTCGAAAGGCATTGATTTACCTCTTATACTTGATGCAGATAAACTAGGTTGGACTCCCGCGCTCCTGTGCTCACAGGCAGAGCAGAGGCTTTGGCTTTCAACTATTGTGTTTTGTCTTGCCTAGAAAATGGTCAACGCCAATAAATCTTTGTGTCTCACGTGGCTGCTGCTGGATTTGAATTCTCTGGAATGTAATTGTTGTCATACTTTGACGTTTCAGATAAAATCGAAAAAGCCGACGTGAAGCCCCTGTTAAGTATACTGAGGCATTCACCTTTCCGCTGGCCTGTGCTGGAATCCAACATTGGACCTGAAGGGCTGTGGTCAGAAAGGAGGTTTAGCTTAGTCCAAACCTTGGCAACTCTTCGTGGTCAATACAGTAACTCTGTCTTCATCCGTTTATATGTGGCTGCTGATGACAAAATCTCCAATCGGTATATCATGAAGGTACCATATAGCATATCTAATGGGTTACTTTGCATGGTATTTTGTGGTCTCATTTTTTTAAAAGCATGTTTACATGCCACAGGTTTGCACTTGATTATTGTTGCTATCATCTACTGACTTACAGATGTACATAGGTGCCAATTTATAGGAATGTAGAAGCCGCTGGGAACCACATGCTATTGAAAAATATTTCTGTACAGGATATTTTCTCCTTTCAAATGGCAAAAAAGGGTAAAATATGTTCCCAGTGGAGCAATGTCCAGGGTTTATGTGCATGAAAATGAGAGGTGGATATCTAGTCCTAGGGGTGTTCTGGGTGCTGCTTGTGGCTCATCAGTTGCACGAAGAATGTTTTTTGTGTGGGAAGATGAGAAATGGTGCATCAGTAGCAGATATTTTGAGCTTGAGCTATTTTTCTTGAGATGGCAACACATTATCTTGTGCTTATACAGCACCTTACAACACAGATGTATCCCAAACACTTCTAAGCCTGAAGCACAGAATTTACCTTTTTGCTGAAATGCTATTGCTTTTGGACCAAAGCATTACCAGTTTGTTAACAGTGCATGGCATTACACAACAATTTAGATTAGTGAGAAAAAGACCCAAGAAATGTTGCCTCACTGTAGTCTGAAGAACTCCGGAGAGAATTGTATTACTGTGAGATGTCACCATGGCAAGACTGAGTGTCTGGGCCAAATGCATTGTTGTTTAAGAAGTAGAGATGAGGAGCCAGCGTAGACCAGCCCTCCCCAGCTACAAGAAAATAGTTTATGAAGGCAAGAGAAAAGGGACAAAGAAGAAAGTTATGATGCCATTCATCACAGCAAAATAGGATCTATGATCCTTATGTTGCTAGCATCTTGGCCAGCTGTAGGAATGTAGCCATGAATACACTGTATTTAGGGATCAAGCAACAGTTAACTGTGGTCATACTGGAGTGGATGTGGATTCTGAGACAGTTCTTTAAAATGACTTTTGACTGAGGCATTTAACTGGTATAAAATTGAAGGGTAACTTTTCCCCATCTCGAGGACATTTTCCTGAATAGTCAACAGCAGATCAACAGTTTGCTCTATTAAAGATGTCATTCTGCTAAGATGCTGTTCAGACCCTGTCAGGATTGCTTTGTCTGGAGATTTGTTTAAAAGAACTAAAACAGTAGAATCAGGAGAGATATTTAGATATTTCCTGTCATAATATTTCAGTGCAAGTCACCTGTCAGCAAAGGGCTGGGCAGTTACATCCTTATTGCTGGCCTATTGGCAACGAATGATGCCTAGCAGTGTCTTCACTCAGTATGCTTAGTGGCACCTGAGAATTAGGTATCTAAATAACTGAAGCACTACAGACTATGAATAACATATTATTCCATAGGGTATTCTGTTGTTTTTAATTTGATTAAGAACTTGATCTGCAGAATACATCAGCCAGTATTCTACTTTGTCCGTGTTTTAACAAATTCCCAGGGGTGCAGATGTATCATGGTGTATTTCAATCTGCTTGTGAAAACGGCTCTATTGCAAAATTCTTTTTGTTCAGCGTTGCAAAATCATGAATGGATCAGAAAAAAGTAGAAACTTTGTTCAACATTCAACATGATCTTTTTTTCTTGAGGGCTGAAGAAGTTATTTTTTTTTGTTTGTTTCTCATATTTGTGCTCTCTTGGTTTTAATGGGTTGTCAGATCTAACTCTTAAGCCAGGAAAATTTGGATGAGCAATTCACGCAACAGTCACATAATTGAAATAGGCCAAATCATCTGAAGTTAACTATTACCAGGACACACATATGCAAAGCATAAGAGTATATTCTTTTTGCTTCAATATGCTGAAAAAAGAAAGTGATACTGTTTTTCAAAGAATCAGAGTTGCACTAAGCATTACAGCTACTCTCCTTTTAGTGGATGGTTTGCTTTATTTGTTTATGGTATATTTTAAAGGTTGAGAACATCAGCCAGTAGAGGAAAAGATGACATTTACTCATTCATTTTAGATTCTAAGTTGTATTTATTTAGGTCATTTTTATAAATGTACAAAATGTGAAATATCAGTGGTGCGGGACTTAGATTAAAAAAGACTTAAGTGAAGTTGTGTGAATAAATACACTCTCTCTTCACTAGACTTGCTTTTTAAAAACAAATACAGCATCAGAATAATAATTTTAGAATATCGAAACTGTTGTTTCTGCTCCAGTCAGTATCTTACTCAGTTTAGAAGCTGGCTGAATCATATTTTCAGCTTCGGCTTCCATACCTTAACCTAACCTGATCACGTTAAGTGTTTTGGGAAATCTCAGTTTCCAGTAGTAATTTTAAGATCTATGCTGCACTGTAAGTTTTTTTCTGGCTAGGAACTTGAAACTATATGCAAATACTCCCGTGTAGTCCTTTCCTCAAAAGACTAAGCGCAGGTCTCAATGAAATTTCAGGACTGGTTTAGAAATTACTTTGAGGACCTTATTCCAATATTAGAGTGAATGTAGGCCAACAAATTTAGATCAAAAAGATAAGTGAAAGTCAAAGATCCACCTGAACCTACCAGACATCTTTAGCTGATGTACTGGAGGCATAACAATTTCCCGTGCATGCATGCAATCATTTCTGCGGCTGGTATCCAGCTGTTTCAGTACATCTGTTCAAAAAGACAAATACAGCACTCAGTGCTGGTCTAGGGTGAAGGTTAAAAATGTAACCTCAATTTCAGTCAAAGGCGGCTAGCAATGCTTTCCAGATACACAGCAGCTAACGTGCTCCAGCGCCTAATGGGCATTTGGTCCGCACACTAGACTAGCGTTTGTCTCAGGCTGACTCTTGTGCCCCTGAAATATGTTTGGACTGGCCGTCAGCACCACCTGTTTGGTCCTGTAGACCCAGTCCTATTGCATTACCTACTCGCTAATGGAGCCAGAAACACAGAAATCACGTAGGTGATTCTTTGCTGTAGTAGGTGGCTCAGATATTGCAGGGGACATCTGAGGCTCCCTAGATCACAGTAATGTGATTTAGGTAATGTCTGTCAGCACAGTATAGCATTTTTCTGTTGTTTTGAAATCCTGTGGAACTCAGGCTGGTGCAGGGTATTATGTATTAGATATTTACACACGTCTACCATAATGGCCAGAAAAACTTGAACCCTTCAAAGGTTGCTTATAGGGCTGCCTTTGCATTCTGATGAATTTGCCTATTAAATGCTGCTGCTTGTTATTTTTAACAGCTCGACCAAGCAAGCCTCTCTCTTGCATCTCGAGAGGATTACCTAGAAAACACCACAGAAGCCAAATCTGTAAGTACTATTAACTGGAAATCAGAGTGACCATTTCTCCCCTCAGTTTTTTTCATTGTTTGTTTTGTTTTGTTGAGTTCCAAACTAAGAAAAGGTTGTGGTTTGCTTGGATTTGGATTTTTCAGGGTATCTTCTATCAGAAAACACCACCACTACAAGCACCACTACCACAAGCTTCCCTTTTGAGTTCCCTGAGAGGTTAGTCAGTATTTTAGCCGCATCTATCAGACCAGATGATGCCAGGATACAAAGGCTTGTATCTACTTAAAGTTTTAAGGTGGAAATGCGTTGGGGTATGTTTTTGCCTTTCTTGGACTGCGGGTTGGTACAAGTTGATGAGGAGCAATCTGATGATCCTTCCAAAATCTCTGAAGGATTATGCTGGGGGGGGGGGGGGGTGTAGCACAGAAATCACTGCACTATCATTACATACAGTGTACTCTGCTAAAATTTGTGTATACACACTGAGACTAAAATGTGCTTTATTAGGATAGCCTGGGGAGAGCAGAGCAGAGCACTGTGGCAGGTACACGTGTTGCAGTGCCGTGGCAGGAATAGAGGAGAGAGCTCAGTGGAGCATCCCTTTATCTCCCTATCTTCTCAGCTGCTAAGCTTGCACTTGTATACAGGTGCTTCTTCAGTCCTGCTCTGATTACTGTATGAATTGGTGTAAAATATTGGTGTACACTCGCACACATTGTCTAATCCCATTGTAAGAGCTGTAAGTGTTGTCAGTCTAATCCAGAAGTGTCACTTGCATTTCCTGAGATATATACTTTGTGAACCACAGTAGGTATCTCTGTCTGTCAAGCACAGTACGTTTACAGTGTTATCCTTTTTTTCCTTGATGACAGCAGGCATTCAAGGTAAGGAAGGCACAATTTTGGTTGCTAGGGCATGAAAGTCCAAAGTATTATACTCCTTGCTATAACTGGGCATTTCTGGTCTACTGCTACAGCTGTGCTCAAGAGCAAATCCGATGTGATTTCACTCTTTTTCTTTGTTTACAGTACCGAGATGCCTTTTTGCAGTTCATGGTTGATACAGCAGTGCTGCTGGGCGCAAACGCTTCACGAGCTGAATCTGATATGAAGTCGGTTCTAAGACTGGAAGTTAAAATAGCTGAGGTTGGTAATCTAATGTGGGGTTGAAGCTAGCTTTTACAAAAAAAACCCTGGCCTGTATCAGAAGTAGCATGGGCAGCAGGAGCAGGGAAGCGACCTGTACTCGGCACTGGTGAGGCTGCACCTCGAATCCTGTGTTCAGTTTTGGGCCCCTCACGACAAGAAAGACCTTGAGGTGCTGGAGCGTGTCCAAAAAAGAGCAATGAACGTGGAGAGGGGCCTGGAGCACAAGTCCTATGAGGAACGGCTGAAGGAACTGGGGTTTAGCCTGGAGAAAAGGAGGCTGAGGGGAGACCTTATCGATCCCTACAACTACCTGAAAGGAGGGTGTAGTGAGGTGGGGATCGGTCTCTTCTCCCAAGGAACAAGTCATGGGATGAGAGGAAATGGCCTCAAGTTGCTCCAGGGGAGGTTTAGGGTGGATATTAGGAACAATTTCTTCACCAAAAGGGTTGTCAAGCATTGGAACAGGCTGCCCAGGGAAGTGGTGGAGTCACCATCCCTGGGGGTATTTAAAGGACATGTAGATGTGAAACTTAGGGACATGGTTTAGTGGTGGACTTGGCAGTGTTAGGCTTACAGTTAGACTCAATGATCTAAAAGGTCTCTTCCAACCTAAATGATTCTTTGATTCTATGATTCTGTAATTTTGAACTTGGGCAGAATTTGAGTCCCTGCTGTGCAGCTATGTTGAGAATACATTACCATGTATTCAGGAAGCAGACTAGGCTGGTGCTCTGCAGAACAGTCTAAAAGCAGTGCAAGACTGAGGTGGGATATTGGCGTTTGGTAATGAGAGGGTGCTGGTTACAGCAGCACCGCAGTTAGCTCCTGAGCTGCTTTCCTGGGGCACTCTGGGAGAGGGGATGAGAAACTCCATGAGTTTTAAAGGGACCCAGTGACTTTAGGAAAGCTAAGCAGATTTAAATCTGGTACTTGGTTCTGACTGATTTACTTGGCGACATTTTTCCCCTCTTGTGGAGTTTAATTTATGCATTAAGACTGTTGGAAGCTGAAAGAGTGTTTCTGCTTCCCCGTATCCCTGTTTCAGTATGGCCAGCACAGGAATCCTGCTCCCGGGAGCTGCAAGTCCATTATCGTTTCCACTTCTTCTAAAGCTAGAGAGAAGAGTTAGCCTCGATGCTGGAAAACACCAAAAGTTAGGGCTACAAACTTGACCCTGATTTGCAGAACTGCCAGCCGAGCTGAGTATTTCTTCCTATCGCCAAGGAAAGCAGCTGTCCCCTAGGAAATGCTGGGTCTCCTGTTAACAGAGAAGCCTGTTGCACGGGGCAGGTGATGCAGCAGGTGACTTTTCCCTGGGCTCTGCTGTTGCAGTCTACAGGAGGAAAGGCAGTGATGCTTCTTAATGGGGTGTGTGTGGAGAATTGAGGGCCATCCACAATAGTAGTAAATCAGTGTTTCCATCTCTCTGCTGGAAGAGATGAAATTTTGTCAAACCTCTAAATAAAGCCCAATGTTCAGCTTCAGATACCTAATGTGGGTGGACTAATGAGAAGATACTTCATTGTGACCCAGTAGACTTGAAAAACAGAAAATGTTTCTTCTGTTTATCAGTGGTGTGATAAGAAGCAGCATCGCTACCTCTGGTAGCTCTAATGCTTTACTTAATGAATGTCTTGCAGAGCTTTAATCCACAAAGTACATAGGTGAAGTTGCCGTAGAAGATGACATGGATCATGTAACAACCCTCAGGATCAGTAATGCATTCCCTAGTGCAACAAGCCATATTTGCTCATGGTTACCTAATTTCCCTTTAGTGTGAACAATCCTCCTAATATGTATCCAGATATTAGGCATGAATCCAGGGACATGGATTGTTGCATAATTCCTAATGAGCATAATGATTTATGTAAACATTTTACCATGATTTCAAAAGGAGATAGTCCTGTTTGTTACTTAGGCTTTTACTGTATCCTGTGTTCCTCTGCATTCATTTTAAGTGAAAGTATATAACGGAGAACTTGTGCACTCAGGGGGAGACAGCAAGAATAAAGGGAGGATACTTTGGATATAGGAAGGAGTGGCATGCTTCGAGAGAGCTGCTTGTGTACAAGGAAGATTTCAATTAGGTTTGAATTACTGGAGGAAGAGGGAAAGTTTTGGGAGGAAGGGAGCAAACGGGTTCAAGAAGAGTTTAAAGATTTGTCAGATAAATGAAATTTGCAGAAAGGGAGAAGAAAATAATTTTTTTTCTGTGTGGCTTGAGCAATAGTAAAACCGCAGACCCTTACTGGAGAATTTTGATTGGAGAACTGCCAGCTGTCTGGTTAGTCTGGCGTCAATCTCTGTCCTCTTTAAATTGCACAGTGTACAGCCTGTTATATAGGATTTACCTTAGAGCAGGGCTGGAATTGCCATCAGGAATTCTTGTTCCTCTTGAACCCTGAGAAAATTTTGAGCTATATCTTGTACTTGGTTTGTTTTTCTGTTATGAACCATACTGCCATCCTGGAATCTGAATGTCCCTTGTCAGTTATGAAAGGACTTGTTTTCTATTTAGGAATTCTTTTGCTCTGTCCTTCGACTGTGACACTACAGAGGATCCTGAGGTCTGGCTCCTCTGGGTCACCCGGATGAGAGTCCTGGCTGGAGAATGCTTTAATTCATGTCTGGCCTATATACCCAGGTTTCCTGCTATGGAAATCAGGATGGTGGGGTAAAATAAGGAGAAACTTGTGTGTATCTGGCTCTTCCCTCACACGGAGTCAGGCCATAGCAAGAACGTGTTCAAATCCAAGAGATGAGATGCACTTCCAGCATACCTATTTCAGATTTGACCTTTTAAGCCATATAGTTTGGAGCTGGCTTCTATCTGACATGATGGGATGAATAAGTATTAATGGTCTAGGTGTGCTTTTATCTCTTATGAATCAACATGCATTTCCTTAGTATAATCAGAGTAAAAATTGGTCCAATATGTTCAAAGAAGACATGCAGCTCATTAAATTCCCCAGTAATGAGTTAAACTGACAATGAACTGTGTTCCATTTCTCCTGGTTAAATGCCATCCTCAGAGAGGGAAGTTAATGCCATGAATGCTTGGAAAACAGGTGGTGAGATATTTCTGCACTGGGATTATGATGGACAGTAATGATGTAAGAGCAGGTCCCTGCAAGATAATCCTTGTTTTGATGTTTGGTTTTTTTTTTTCCCCCAGATCATGATTCCATATGAAAATCGCACAAGTGAGGTGATGTACAATAAAATGAACATATCAGAGCTTAGCGCCATGATTCCACAGGTTGGTTGAGGATAATTGCAAAATTATTCTTTTAGCATCTGACCTATATAATTAAAATTGCCTTTAATATACAGAGCAGCATGTTAAAGGAATATCGCTAGGAATGTGCGTACTCAATTACAATATATGTTCTTTTAAATATAGTTATGACTTTACTGAGGTTTGAAAACACATGTGATGACAAAGTGCAATAATTTCTGGATTTTTAGTAAGTAAATCTTTGAAACCATTAGTCTCACAGGTGCAACTTAGTTAATAAACCATCTCTCTTCATAATCTGCTTTAACCAGCCTTCTCTTTGTCATTGCAGTTTGACTGGCTGGGATACATCAAGAAGGTGATTGACACCAGACTCTATCCTGAGCTCAAAGATATAGATCCTTCAGAAAATGTGATTGTCCGTGTTCCCCAATACTTCAAAGATTTATTCAGGATACTAGAAAATGAAAGGAAAAAGTAAGGATCCTATGATGGTTTCACCCACACTTATGAAGGGACATCAAATGCTGGGCTTCTCCTGGGTTTTTCAGATGTTTCAGATATTCTTGGAATCAAGCCTCTAGGCAAAAGGTCTGTGTGGTTTTGTCTGAATGAGGATATAGATATCAGCTTGTGTGTAGCAGGAGAATTTGCAGTTTCAACACCTTTCTTTTTTTATGGAAAACACAGGTTGCAGTGAAGTTGCTCTTTCCAGATGCATTCAACATCTCTTACTTGTATAGGGTCTTGCATTTTGTGAAATCATTTACACCTGTAGAATATAGTTGTAAAATGCAGGTAGCTCATATTAAACACAGTAGATGTGCTTTGCACAGGGAAGCAAGACAGCTTTGGGCAGTGTGATGAAAAAGTTTGTGAAGATGACATCCCATTTTGAAACATTATTGATGACATTTAAGTGATTTCTGTGATAATTTGCTCTCTGCTGAGGCATGTTGCTGAACTTTTAAAAAAATATTGTTAGGCTGTCATCGCCAAAAATCATTCTTTGCTGATTGTACAGTATGGCTACAACTAAATTTACATTTCAGAAAAAAAGGCTAATTCAGAAGCATTATTCTTACATTGTTGGTCTATGTCTCCAGTGACAGAATGCTTACATTAATTCATAGTACCTGTAAAAATAACACACAGATCAAACAATAATAAAAATAAAAATGATTGATCTGCCTACAGATCATCAAACATCCTTTCTTTACAAAATTCAGAGAAATATCGTTAGCGTACCACCAATCTTAATCTACTGAAGAAAGTCTTCTAAACTGTTTGGGCTGTCCATGCTTTGTATCTCAAAGTTAGTCATGTCAGTGGGGATAAAGCAGTGATTTAGAGGATGCACATGTAGCAAGACAACAGAGAATTAGTTATTCCCTGTGTACGGATGCACTTACACACAAATACATTCTATAACCGCAGAGTAAATACCTGGAGACTTTTTCTGTTAGGGTCTTATTCAGGGAAAATCAGAGTATTCAAGAAGAGTTAAGCCAGCCTGTGTGTCATGGCAGAGGGAGGCCGGAGTAATGACCAGAAAGAATTTCAATGCCCATCTTCAGCGGAGCCTGAGACCAGCTTCCTGACGCCCCCCAGCCAAAAGCAGTGTCCGATTTCCAGTATATTCATGCTGCATATCTTATAGCTGGTAATGGTTTAGGCATTTTCTGCTCAGTCTTACCCTAAGAAATTTGTACCATAAAATGTAGGACTTGCATAAATACTGTCTTAGATCCACAGAGTAGTTACTGCTGGACCATGGATACCGTTCAGCTCTGCTGAAATACCTGAGGCAGATAGTTGTGAGGCTTGTGGAGTTCAAGTCATTTACAAAACCAGTGAGAGCTGAGCATTTTTAGGGTGCTTCAGTTGCCATTGAGTGAGGAAATTCCACATTGTCAGAAATGTGTTAAGGAGAAACTATATACTGTCTGGTATTTCACAGGTTGGAATGAATTTTTAATGACCCTAAGCATCATCTCAAAATGGTTGGATTATCTAAGCAGAGCTACCTGTTTTGGCTTTTGTAACATGTGTTGTGTTATAAATGTACATTATTCATGCTAAAGAGATTTTTCAGTTAGGTTTTACAATTATTGTGGGGATTTATGTGTACTATATATCTGTATACTAAAAGAGGGAATATGCCCAGTGTGAGAGATGAGAAGTATAAAAGGCAGGACTTAGGCATCCCAGCAACTCTCTGCTCCCCTGTAGAAATTGCCACTGGCCACAAAGACTAGTGAGCATCAGGCCTTTGAGGTGACCATTGCCTTGAGATTGCACCCTCAAGTTTTCCTGCGTGAAACGAGTTGACCCTATTTCTGACCTATAAGTATCTGCAGACTGAACTGATGAGTAAAACGGGTTCTCCGTTCTCACCTCTTTATCACCTCTCCAGCTGAGTGACCAAGAGTGTAAGCCTCCAGCAGCAACTTATCTTGAGCTGGAGGCTTTGTGTGGGTGGACTGGAGCTTGCTTAGAGGGAAAACTCAAGTTACGGCTCAGGCGAATGCTGCTGTGAAGGCAACGTGCCCACAAAGTGTGTTTATAACCCGTTATGATTCAGGGGAGGGGACAGTATGGGATGTGTCCATGAATGAAGCTGATGGAGTGATGCTGTTGCAACACCTATGCTGCTCCACACCTGTGGCAACGGGAGATGGCAGAAATGGGATTATTAGAGATGGGAGAGTTGTTCAGTTGGTCCATAACAGCACCTGAGGTTGCAGAGGAGCAATTTTCCTCCCTATGGAGAAGTCTGTGGCCTGCCCAAAATGTTATGTGTATCCCAGTGAAGAGCAAACATTTGGCTACCCATGGCTTTAGGGCAATAACTATCCTTGAAAAATACGTCATTTATAAGACAAGATGAGAATAATACGTGTAGGCCATTCTTGGACTTGTTTTGAGGCTGTTTGAAGTTGAATTGCGTATTTCACGTTGCACCTTTACCTCATACAGCCACTGCTGAGCGTGGAGAGAGCTCAGTCTAGACTAGATAAATCCTCCAGTCAAGTGCTTGAAGTTTTAGAAAAGGGGCATGGACGTCAGGTCTCCTGGGTATTTTAAACAAGTTCTTCCTGGGTGTCTCAGCCTCTGTTCTTACGAGATTCTTGTTACTGAGACTTCTCCTTTTTGGTATTTCAATTATCCATCTGCAAAATAAGAGTGGTAATACTTTAATAACTCTGTGGGTAGTAAGAACTTTTAAAAGCATATTGATAACTTCTAATGAAAGAGACAAATATGAGATAATGATAGTATATATGGGATGAACTGTTATCTATTCTGTTTCATAGTTATGATTTATATGCCCTACTAATGCAGAGAGATAACATTCACTTTGATTTACAAAAGAAAAATCAGTTATTTTCTTATCTCCGGATAGAACTTTTATGCAGCTATTATTATGACACGGTTCTTGCCACTTCTATGGAAAATGAAAACTGCCTTTTGAAAAAAGCATTACCTAAAAATGACATGCTAGGAGATGGACTCTTTATAAATATCCCCTAGAAGATGGTTATCATGGTGCAATTACATATTAACTGGCTGCAATCACACAGATTCTTCTGTGTAATAGGGATTTATCAATTTGGTCATCATTCATTAATTTTCAAGGTGAAATTTCCACCATTCAGTTGAGATGTTTGTAGAGCTATTTCTGTAAGTGCTTTGTGGTACATCATATGCATTTCGATGTCTGATAAAAATATGTCTGATTTAACAGGACTCTTGCCAACTATCTGGTGTGGAGGATGGTTTATTCAAGGTTATTTAACCTCAGTAGACGTTTTCAGTATCGGTGGCTGGAATTTTCTCGGGTAAGTTAGAGTTTTTATAGCATTTACAATGGTACTAGCGTCGACGTTATTGATTTCCCTTATGGTTGCTTATACCTTTGCAAAACATGAAATGTTTTCCATGCGGGATAAATTTATTGAATAAACTTTTTTTGTTGAAGACTCTCTCTAAAACAATTAAGGCGCACATATTCTTGTATATGACACTAAAGAAAAATGTCTTTTAGATTATGTTAAGGAGTTTTCGAGACCTCCCCTTTAAAAACCTTAGTCTTATGCAGAAACTTGAAAGCTGGAAAGTTTTTTAGTAACGTGCCAGGGCTGTGACCTGTGCTATTCTTGCAGGCCAAACCTGTTTGGCCAAAAAACCTAAGCTTTTGAAAAAAACCTTACTGTTTATGCATGTGTGAATATAGCTCTGGTGAAACAGAAGTCTAAGATTTCAGCTTTTCTAAGCTTGCCTAAACCTCTGTCATGCTCTAGTGCCAGCTTTACATGAGCTCCAGCACATCCATACACCAGCCATTTCCACAGAGAAGTCAATCAGGTGCCTTCCAGCTTGGGGCTGCAGAAGCCCCAGAAGGCGTTAATCACTGTGCCAAGATGCGAGAGCAGAGCTAATTATCTATCAAGTAATATGGGCATTTATGTAAAACACATATATTTGATTAAGTGAACCCTGAATAGAAAGCCACCCTGATAATCCTGTGGGCAGTGTGAGGGCTCTTCAAGAAAACCAAGGGTGAAACTGAAACAGAAAGGTGCTTTGGCTTGTTTCCATGTCACTTTAGCGTAGATGGTGAACTTTTTGTTTGTCATTAAGAAAATTAGCTGCTTGGTGACATCATGACGACAGGAGGCTGGCATAATACTGGCAGTGGTGTGGTACAGGAGGTGTGGGTGCTCTGTTCTCCCCGGTGAGGCATGTGGGTGGCTAATTGAAGCACCCATAATGTCTTTCCTTGAGTAGTACTGGAATAGTTCTGAGTTGATCAAATATCTAAAAATAAACTCCAATAGCTTGATGGAAGTTACACAGGAAAGGCCGTCTCTTATACTTCTGAAATCATATTCAAATCAGTCTTGTTAAAGATGCCATTTTTCTTCATGGAAAAATGTGAGAAATTGGCTGTCAGAACCACAACAACAAGTTTGTAAGTGTGTCCCCCCCGGGACATTCCTTGCTAGCCAGGTAAAATAAATTAATGCTGGCCATCAGCCAGTCTGCAACATAATACTGAGTTATATTGAGTTATATTATGGCCAGAAAAAATCCTGGAAGGAAACTTTAAGCTTTGGATACTGTGTGTTTTGATATAGTAACTACCTGCTGTCACTTCTCTGGGTATTTTCTCCAGAAGTTTAGGGAGAAATCTCATTCAAGTTGATTCGATGCTTATTAACAACGTTATCAAGGGTTTCATGTAAGTGGTTGTGAAAACTTAAGAACAGCACAGTAAGGGCAGTGAGTCAGCGGCTCATTCCCATTACCTGCCCCTGGGACTCGGAGGTGGAGAGTTAGTTAAGTGGAGTAAACAGCAATAGCTCAATAGTTAATAGCTAAAGTTAAGCGCAGTAAACAGCTCAGGGGAGCAGACTTCACAGGTCAGCAGAAAGGACATGAGAAATGGAGTCCAAGGCAAAGGCTTTGTTGAACATTTCTCCAGTCGGCAGCTGGAGGGGTAAAGGCACGCAGGTCCTCTGGGATCTTAAAAAGGACCCACCAACCCCTTGCTGGGTAAGTGAAGAAAACATTGAATGACTGCTAAAAAGGCATGACCATGAGATGAACCAGTGACCCTTAAAGCAAAAGATATCTCTTAGTCAGTCAGTCTGTCAGTCATCCTCACCCACCGTAAGCATAGTATTTTTTTTCACCAGGTTCTCATTTTCTGTTGGTGGCTTTTACATCTTACACATAGAAATCTTGCCGTCAAGACACTTAAACTCTTTGCAAAGAGGGGGAGAAAGACACGATGAAACTTCAAAGTACTTCAGGTTGAGAAATAGCACAAACCTGCTGACTCTAGAGAAAGTGCTGGGATTGCCACGTCAGCAGCTATCAGCATCTCCTCTGCAGTGGTGCTTCGAGTCCTCGCGGATGTGCAGTGGCACCCGGGGAAGAGATTGGTTAATTGTCTTGTGGAGCTCTGAATTGACTGGGAGGGCTGGAAACCTGCTATTTATAGTCACTGTTACTACCTGGAGTACCGTGCTTTAGAGTGGTCCATTAATATTAGGAGGACCATTTTGAGGGAGTTGTAGTTGGCTGTTGTAACATAAATATCAATAAACCAGCTGTGGGATATAATGTATTCCTCTCAGCTCTGTTTTTATTGGTCTCACAGCCTGCCTTTCTGTCCTCCTTACAGTCAAGCCTCCCTCAAAATAATGATAATTATTATGTTGTAATAATAATATGTCACAGTCTAAAAGCCAGCTCTGCCTCCTGACTCCTCCTGCGGCTGATGCGTAGTCAGAGTTTTTGGAAAGAATTTCAAGCTCTGATGACTAATGCCATGACTCCCCTTCTTCCCCTGCATCAGGAGAAAGCTCCATTGTGGTTATGCTTGCACCCTGGAGAAATTTTTTTCTTTTTTTTTTTTTTTTTTTTTTTTTTTTTTTTTTTTTTTCCTTGAGTGCTGTGTTATATATGAGGGTTGAAGAATTTGGAAACGGAGTTTATTTTCAAATTTGGCTCTGTTTAGGAAACTATTACCTTATGTATTGGTTTGGCTAATGTGGCTTTCTTATAGGAGCAGTGTTCCCTCTGTCATTGAAAATCTATTAGTACACATACAGTATTAATAAAAAGCATTTGAAAATGCAATTCACTGGTGTGTTTGAGTCATTGATTAAGCTTAATTACAGACAATATGATGGAGAAAATCAGTCTTTGAACTACCAAAATATCTGACCTTCAATAGCTGAGGGTTAAGCTACTCTGGAATTTTCCAATGAAATCTTTTCCTATTGGAAAAAAATAAATCCAAACCCTACAGTTTTGCTAGAAATTTAATCTTGGGCTCAAAGGAGGAAAAGACGGGGAAAAGAAGAGGCTCAGACACTGCTAGATCAGTGCTTAAGAGGCTTGTACAATCTGTGAGAGGCCAAAATCCCTATCCCCCTGACCTGGTCTGGTGTTGACTGTACTCTGCTTTTTTCAGTGTTAACTACTGGACTGGGATTTTGCTTGTTCTCTGTGAAAAAGCTTAAGTAGTTCCTTAAGTAAAAGGGAAATCTTTGAACCTTGAAAACACAAAAGTTTCTTAAATCAGTGCTGCTACTGCTTACGTGGACCCATCTTGTATTTTGTTGTGTGTACTTTTTAAAAATGAACTTCTACTTTGATGAGGAAATGTAATGTTAACTAGGTAAGCATCCACAGTAACAATGTGCTTCCCATGAGAGACCGAAACCAAGGCAGCCATGAGCTTGAGCTCTATTTTGCCTTGTTCATTGGTGTGTTGACCATTCTTGACTATGTGTCTTTTGAGGCTCATGTATGGTGTTGCAGGGACATCGTCAGAGCCTGGAAGTGTGTATTTACCCACCATTCCTTCAGTAAAATATGCGAGCTCTTCTACCAACATCTTTCTACCACAACATGGAGTGAGATTTTGGGGGGACAAACATGTATTCAGTGTTCTTGATGATTCAAACCTGTTTTCTCCTGAAAATACTCTGTTTGGGAAAGGGGCTGAAAGCAACTATTTATTTTACACAGGCTGTGGGAAGAGTAGCTGGACAGGTAAATGGCAAAAAGGTGTGGACACGTACCTACCAATGTTAGACATCATTAGGTAGCACAGATAAGTTCATGGCAGTGGAGGGCTCTGTAGGAGGTGTTTCATAAGGACTGACCTCATTTTCATGAGGATGATCTCCCTGGGCTTCTCACTTAGTCAATGGAGAGAGAGAAACTTTTTCAAGCGATATCTCAGAGCAGGGATTTTCTAAGGGAAAGTGTCTCTCCACTTAACACAGAAAGACTACCAAGATTAGCCTAAAGTTGGCACTTGGGAATGTCTTCCCATAACTAACCCTCCAAGCCTAGCCTAAGTCATTACCATTGTACTGTTTCTAAGTGTAAAATCCTACAGATATTTTGTGGAGTTCAGAAGATTTGTCATAGCACTTGACGAAAACAGAAGTAACTATAAAGCCTCATTGTTGTTTCCTTTTGGTAGCTATTTGACAAATACACTTTAGACTATACTGTATGTGGATGCAGACTTGTTCTTCTTAAACAGTATGATGTTATAACCTACTACATGCACCTGCCAACAGGTGATCCACGGAACCACAACTTTGCTGCCTCAGTGGGATAAATGTGTGGACCTCGTTGAAAGCGCTCTCCCTTACGTTGTGGGTAAAATGTTTGTGAGTGCCCATTTTCAAGAAGACAAGAAAGAGATGGTGAGTCCTCCGAGATCTCTGTCTAGAAACTTTTAATTAGTGGCTTCCTCCTTACAAATTGCCTCTGATGTTAGACCAAAAGAGATGCGATTCTTCAAAATGCTTTAATTAAAAAAAAAAAAAAAAGGCAAGGAGAAAATGGAACAAATTTGAAGAAACGTCACCTTTCTGTCCATCTGGGCACTGCCTGTTCTTTCCATCTGCAGCCCTTCAGACAAATATGTAGCCAGATCAAAACCAGGCTGAACACCATTAATCAGTGTAAATAATGACAGCCAGGCTGTGCAGGAACAGAGTGAGGGGTATTGATGAGAAATGGCTTAGTGTAGCTAGTGTAACTCATTATAGTAAAGTTTTTACTGACTAGTTAAAAGACTGGTCAAGATTTCTCTGCTTCAGGGTGGCCCTTTTAAAGCTGACTGTGCTACGCCTGCAATCTAAGCAAGAAAAGTGTAACTGCTGTCTGGCCCAAATTAAGGGAAGCTTAGAGCCACATAGTGAGAATTTATATTTGTGATTCAAATCTTTTTTGCTCAACGGAGAAGGAAAGTACTCTTCCCCGCTGCTGAGTCCAGAGAATAGCTTTTAGCTGGATGTTCATCCTCATTCTAACACTTCAAACATAGCTACATTATCACTTCTCTTAAAAACATATTAAAATGATTGATTACCCTTCACAATAATCTATGACTTATTTTCAGTTCGTATTTTTCTCATAAGGCATTCCAATATCTGCTTTTCCAGCCACTGATTTTCCAACAATAATCGGTTTAAAATTAACTAATTTAGTCATGGAACGTAGCTCTCGGTGCAGGAGAGGCAAAACCGTTTAGGAAACCTGTGAAACAGCATCCCGCGCTGGGAGCGACAGCTCTGCAATAGTCCTGCGCTGCCTGGCTCAGTAGCCTGAGTTTGTCTCTTTGACTTTATCTAGTTTGACTGTTTTCTCAGAGAAGGACTCCATTTTAGACAGACCAACACTCCGATTTGGCTTGTCCAAATCATTATGATGTGTGTTTCCCTCTCTTTTGCTGCTTGCCTTCAGCTGGACTTTCCTCCCTGAGATCCAGCTTTTCACTCCCCTGCTTCTTGATCGAGTTTGTAATGTGCTGTTTGGCAGTAAAGTGGCAAAAATACTTCAGGGATACACAGTGTGACCTCTGTGCAGGATAAATGGGAAGAGAAGGACTGTAAGAAATGTATACTTTAGGGAGGGGATGGACACTTTTTCATGTTTGTATGTGTGAGGGAAAATTATGGGAAGCTGATAGAGAATGGTTTTCTGTTGAAATGTGACCTAATTAAAATATTTCTTAGCATGTACATTCCTTTCAGACCAAATCTTTGAAAAATCGTCAAATCTGAATTCACAGTAGCATCCATAGGAAGAAATGCATATAAAGTGTATAGTGTAGATCACAAGATTCAGACTTATAGTGAACTGCCCATGGAGATAAAATTAGATCAGGCGAAATTTGTTGCAATCCATTTAGAAGTGTGCTTTTCAAGTTAATCATTTGTGGTGGTATAATTTTCATTTCACTGGTTTTCAGTTCTATTTCTCTTTCTTAAGCAGTAAGAAAGTACTTGAGAAAAGCACTCTTGTTTGCACAGATTTTTTTTTCTTTTTTTTTTTTTCCTGGCTCATGGCATATATCTGTCTATGATAAGCAAATCCTGCGTTATGGATAATATGGATTCTTTTCCCCCCATGTTTTGTCACTGATGTTTCATACCTTAGATACTTCTCTCCTTTTATCAAGACAGACATTATTTGTGTCTAAATATAGCACTGTTTCTAAGCCAGAGTGCCTGCAGTGTTTCTTACAGCTATGCCTGAGCAGTTTCAGTAATAACTTTGATAGCAGAAATAGGTTTCTCCCCCTGCCCCCTGCAGCTACAGCTGGTGCATAAAGCCTAAGTATACACCAGGGCCCAGCTGCAGAGCTTGAGTTTGAACTCCTAACCTCCAAATACAGGGAGTTCACCTCATTAGTGCACCAAGTTAATTGAGTCAGTGCTCTGTCATCAATATCTTTAAGTTACCCTATTCCCTGGGATGCAGTTTACGGTGAATGTTGACTGTTTAGTCATATTTAATGCTAGACCTGTTCCAGTTGTCCCATATTGTCTCTAAAAAGAAGAAAATGTTTTTTGAAAAGGGTAGGAAAAAATGAATAATCAAAGGAGCTTTGCTATGTTTTGTCTGGCTCCACCACAGATAAAGAACAGTTCCAGATTAAAATATACATCTGATACATAAATGACAATTTAGCTAAAGGTAACGTTACTTTCCAGGGTTTAGTCCCCACTTTTAATGACATTTCAGAGCTACTAGATCTATAGAATAAAATTGTATAAGTCTCTGGTACTGACATTTTCATTATTTTTAAATGTAACATAACTGATACCACAAAGATCCAGTAAGTCTTCCTGTAATGATTATCTGTCATGTCTTGTGCTATCTCAACTCTGGTCTGTGCTAAAGGACTCAAGCAATGGCTGGATCCCCCGAATTGCCTCACTCTCGCAGTATTCTCAGTGTCTATCTGTCATGAGGTTCATCTATTGACGTAAACAGAAGCAGGTGATGGTGTACACCTCTGGGCTAGGCTGCCAGATGCATGCATAGGCATGAGGACATTTCTGCTCTTTAGACTGATACAGTGCATCTCTTAGCCATTAGAGTTCTTGTTTTCTGTCATTTCAGGGTTTTCTTAGTGTGCATACTGACTAAATGCTCCTTTTTTTTTTTTTTTTTTACTTGCTTGTGTCATACGTATGGCTTTGTATAGGTGTCTGAAGAAGCAGCCAAGCTACAATGGTTGTGGGTTTTCCTAGCTCTGCACAGATGCACGCTGTCACTGGTGGTCCGAGACCCCAGAAGCAGTAAGGGCTGCTCAGTGTTGTGAGCCATGGCCTCTATCCCTGCAAGAAGTAAAGGGTAGGAGGACTTCACAAACACAGCTAAATGCAGGCTAAATATTTGGATACTGCTTTGTATTTGGATCATGATGCTGTCAGCCCCACTTCAGTCCTTTGGCAGCATCAATAAGGCATGTCGCAGTCGGACATAAACCAAACGAGGCTACGGATGCTCTCTCTGCAGAAGGGGCTTTATGTGTGCAAATGCCTTGCAGCTGGCTCCTTCTTCTGCATGGGCTAGTGATCTAGAACCAAAGTGTCAGAAATCTCCCCAAATCACTGAAAATCTCCCAGTATTTTTTATGATTTCAAGACAGACATTTTCACAATTGTGATGTGAAAGGATCAGCAATGAGCAGGTTGTGTGGTACACCTGAAGGAAAAGAAAATGGAAAGAAACTTATTTTCAGAAGAAGTGTCTGAGGACTGGAGACAGAAGACATTAGCCTTCAAGAAAGAACAGCAGATACTGTCTGATTTGGAATCATTTATGGTCTACCCAAATCCATCGCTCCTGCATGCACCAAACCTTGTCTTATAATGATTCTGCCATGACATGTTTTACTGGGGAGGGGTTTGCTAAATGTTTTGCAGATGGAGGAGTTGACTGAAGGAATTCGCTGGGCTTTTATTGACATGTTGGAAAAGGAAAATGACTGGATGGACTCCGAAACAAAAAGAAAAGCTTATGAGAAGGTAACAAATATAAATGTTGAACGCGTAAAATCCTGTTACGGTGAAGATTTGACTTGAGCGAGAACAGAATGTCATGGACTGTGCTCGCAGTTCCAGTTACTTACCCATCGTTTTGTTTGTGAAGGGACATGTGCCACATTTGTTTTGCTAGAAGCTGAGCCATCTGAGCTCCTGCTTCTCTGCTGAAGTTATTTTTGTTACCCTGGTCTTCATCCCTTGCCTCCACTTTTCCCCGTCTGGCTCTGGCTGATGTAGGCTGTGAGTTTATTTCAGATTTGCTTGTACAGTGGCTTTTCTTGACAAGGTCTTCATCTTGATTGGGATGTCAGGGTCACACCAGCCTACAAACAGAAAACGGTGTCTAAAACATCTGGGACAGCTGAAGGTGTTTGTTGTGAGGACGGAGGATCCAGCCTGGAAGGGGATATGAGAATAGTCCAGTTCTCATACCTTCTCCAATGTCATGGTGGGAGGCCTATCTTGAAAGCCATCTTCCAGAAGTGCAACGACTATCTCAGCTGAACGCCCATCTCCTAGTAGAATAATGCCAGTTATGAAGTGTTATGAACAAGGATGGCATTACTGGTCCTGGTTCCTCTCAGATGGAGTGACAATAAAATGCAGGAGGTAAAGGTGAGGGAGGGAAGAGGTACTCAAAGCTCCCTTTTCACTCCGTTCCCATGTTTAGAGCAAGTGATAAGTGGAGAGGGAGCTCGTCCAACTGCAGAGCTCTGCCCCCAGAGCAGCAGTTGGAAGAGGCATGAACAAAGAAGAGTGGAGGGTGACGTGTAGGACTGTCTCCTTATTTGTTGAGGCAATGGGATATCAGTGAATTAGTAAATACCCTCTCTGAATAAACCGACATGCAAGTGCAGCTGAACTGTTCCTGCTCGCTGTGCTTAAATAAGAATAGTGGTGTTTTGATTTAAAAACAAACACGGACTTCAAAGTTTGTTGGTAAATCTGATGAAAAGGCTGTTGAGACATTTTATCATTGGAAAGTTTTAAATTCTTTATACAGCTCATTTACATTTTATACAGCAGTGCTCTTCACAGATGTGCAAATGAAATAGAGCTGCATAAATGCAAGAGAACAATAGTAAGATGCCATTTATTTCCTGCTAACCTGATGGTAAATGGACTGCAGTCTTGCTTCTTACTGGCTGTTATGCTTGTTTTTTTACTAGCAATACCATTAGAACTATAATGATCTGTAATTTAGATATTTGACAAATTTGGTGCAAAATAAGAGCAGGAAGGTTTTCTAATTATTTCCTTAATAGAGATATTTCTATATACCTTTACAGGTGTATGCAAGTCTGATGTTGATTTTTCTAGCAAACAATCTGCTTAACCATTTTGTTCCAAATTTGCGACCTGCCTTTCAGCAGAGAAACAGTACAAGCATTGCCGCAAACTACTAAACTCCCTAAAAAGCTCTCCCTTTTCCAATTTAGGGAGAATTTTGTTCAGAAGGTAGGTTAGATCTTTCATAGGTGGATTTGCCTGTTTCCCTCTGTTGACACACTTAGGAAGCTTATGGCACTTTGCTCCCAATTTAGGCATCTCATTTAAGTTTCTGAAGTTAATGGGGCGAGTCTGGGCCAAACAATGCATGACAAACTAAATTCAAGCAGTACAATAAAAAGAATGCTACAAGCCATAGTACTATGAATAGCAAATGGTTTAAATCCATTCTCACTGACTTGAACAACAATTTTACAGTTTACAGATATAGGAACAAGGTCAAGCTTGTAAGACACAAGTATTATGTAGTGACTTAGAAACTGCAGCAACAATTATGCAGTAGGACTTACGACTGTAAGTTTAAGTTCAGATTCACAGAAATGGCTACTTGGCTAGAAGGAAAGAGTCTAGAGAGACATTTTGGTAGATTTCCAGAAATGGAGGTTGTGTGTGTTTATTAAATACTATTTATTGCTAATGATAGGGATTGGATTTGTCCTGGGACATTTGGATGGGCATGTTTTTAATTCAAGAAACAGCTTCATTACATGTATGGTCAGATAACTCACTGGGGAAATTTAAGATTCGTAATGCAACAGAACCTTCAAAATCTGTTACCCTGTTCCAGTTAAATCTCATGAGCCCGGCACATTATGCTGTCACTTTGTTAATATTTACACTTTAATAAAGCAGTACAGACAACAGGAATTCTAGAGTAGGGATTGTTTGGTTGTTAAAAAAAAAAAAGAGTATTACGTTATTACTTTATTATATAGGTCTGTAAAAGTGACATTTCCTCATCCATAAGTGTCACCCACATCTGTGAGGATAGTGCAAGTGCTGTGGATTTCACAATTCAGGAAGGAGCTTCATTTGTTCTTGAATTGAAGAGCAAGTTGTATTGTCCTGGGGGTCTTCTCAGGTTTACTCTTCGTTTTGGATCACTATCAAAATAGGCTAGTGTTATGACAGAGTGCTGGGATGCTGAAGGTACCTTCCTTCAGACGAAGGCCAGAAAGAACTCTCTGCTTTGATCTTCTGTATAGGCAAAGTGTAGTATTTTAGCCAATCATTGCTGGGCTGAGCCAAATAACACCTAAAACAACTGTTCTAGTTCTCTGTGGTTACTAACACCTCTGTGGAATTTATTTATTAGGGTAGGATATTCTGCCTGTGCCTCAGGGCTCAATCTGAGGGCCAGTTCTGTTCAATATATCTATCAATGATCTGGATGCAGGAGTTGAATGCACCATTAACAAATTTGCCGACAATACCAAGCTGGGAGGTGCAGTTGACTCTCTGAAGGGACAAGAAGCCTTGCAGAGGGATCTAGATAGGTTGGAGCATTAGGTGATGATTAATGGGATGAAATTTAACAAGTTGAAGTGCCAGATTCTGCACCTTGGACGGAGTAATGCTGGGCACAAGCATAAACAGGGAGAGGAGTGGCTGGCAAGCAGCCCTGCAGAAAGGAATTTGGGGGGGCTGGCCGACAGCAGGCTCAGTACATCAGCTGTGTGCCCTGGCAGCCCGGAGGGCAAATCCCATCCTGGGGGGCATCAAACACAGCACGGCCAGCCAGTGTGTGCAGTTCTGGGCCCCACCGTTTCAGAAGGACGTGAAGGTCCCTGGACGTGTCCAGAAGAAGGCGACAGAGATGGTGACAGGGCTGGAAGGCATGTCCTCTGAGGAGCGGCTGGGGACTTTGGGCTTGTCTAGGTTGGCGAGAAGGAGGCTGAGAGAAGGACTTGACCTCGTGGCTCTCTGCAGCTTCCTGAGGAGGGATGTGGAGACGGAGGTGCTGAGCTCTTCTCCCTGGGATCCAGTGATAGGATGCGAGGGAATGGTTCAAAGCTGCGCCAGGGGAGGTTCAGACTGGACATGAGGAAGCATTTCTTTGCTGAGAGGGTGGTCAAACACTGGAACAGGCTTCCTGGGGAGGTGGTCGATGCCCCAAGCCTGTCAGTGATTAAGAGACATTTGGACAAAGCCCTTAATAACGTGCTTTAACTTTTGGTCAGCCCTAAATTGGTCAGGCAGTTGGACTGGATGATCATTGTAGGTCCCTTCCAACTCATATATTCTATTCTATTCTTGTTATCAATTAAGTAAAGAAAAGAAGTTTTTAGTTAAGTAAAGAGTGTCTTGGTCTTTATGTTTTCATCAGTAGCTGTCACATTGTCCCTTACAGCAATGCAGAGTAGAGCTCCTGCCTGAAGTTCTATGGCAGAATCATATGCTACATGGAAATGACTGTGATTCATATATTTTGCTTTTCCTCTGTATTTTTAATCTTATTGTGTTCTTGAATTCTTTGAAGGCTCTGGAAGAAAAGGAACCTGGTAGTTTTTGTTTACTGGGCATGCTCCCATGTGATCCATTCAATTTGTCCTTAGCCTTTTCTTTAACCTCAGGCATATTTGGGTCATTAACAAAATTTTTAATCATTTCCTGAAAGAAGAATAAGGTTGATGTGGCATCTGGATGTCTGGACTGTGAGCGTGGAAAGCCTTCCTAGAAAAAACATCTTAGACTATTCTTCTGTTCCTTCTGGTGATTGTATCTTTAAATGACAAGACTGTAGTGCAAATAACTTGGCAGGCTTTAAAGAGAATTAACTGCAAATCCTCTCCGTGATTCGGGTGCTCACTGTTTTGCATGTTTTCTGCTGCCCCTTTTCTGAGCGATGCCCACCTTTCTTGTGCACTTGGCTGAAGCCAAACTTGTATACCTTGCTGTCAGCCCGATGCTTTGCAATCAAAGGGGCCATCGACCTCTGAAGGACTTACAAAAGGCCCTCTGGTAGAATCAATACTTGAATTTTGCTTTAGGCAGCCTGTCAGCTTCATCTAATCACTGAAATGTTTCTCCGTCTGTGACTCTCTTTGTGTCCGTTTTGTTTTAAGTCACTCAGAGGGGACACGACTAATTTGATGAGCCCAAACCGTATTAAAAGGATCAAATCAACTAGTCCATGTGACACAGGGAGCAATGGTCTTGCAGCCTTGATTTCTGAGAATCACCCTTTTAGCCCTTGTATACTTTGGAGTTGCGGTTTGACTTTCCCTCTGTAACAAAACAACATAACGAGATAACATCTAATAATTTCCTTCTATCCTCCCTCCATTCCTCTCTTTCTGTGATCGAAACATGGATTTAAACCAGACCATCGGAGAGCCAGTGTTGCAAAGAAAGCTTTTAACGAGGGTTCGGTGAGTCGCTCTGTCTCCACCCGCAGTTCTCGCCTAGCTCTCTGGATGGAGCTCACGCTGCTTCCAAAGGAGCTCCGAATCCCAGAGAAGGATTCAGCTCTGTGCGGTGATGCTCTCTGTTTTCTGCCCTGTCCTTCCTCCTCTGCTTTATGCAAGCCTTGCTTTATTGCTCTATTTTGACTATCATCTGAAATTTGCTTAAACTATGCCTGTTAACCTCCCGAATTTTCAATGGAGGTTTCTGATTAAAAAAAAAAAAAGCAAGCAAAAAAAAAAGGCAAAACGTTCCTCTTCTTCCCTTTTAGCCTCTCCCTTTTGTAA